CTGTAGAAATGAATCTCATATTATTTCATCTCAAATATAGAACACAAAAATATAATAAAAAACAAGTTTCTATTAATTGCAAAAGTTAGCTTCTATGGCATGACTGAGTTTGGGTTCCGTTTCTAGGGAAAAATATCCATCTGGAAATATCGTATTGACCATTGCTATACACTCCATATTTAATCCTCCCAGTAAATAACATTGATATACAGTATACAAGTATATATGACATCAAGGATCTGGGGTTTGGGTAACGTGAGACATGAGGCCACTTGTCTTTTTGAATCTCATATTCAATATTCTTTCTTTAAACCCTCATATTTAATATTTTTGGTGTGGTAATTCAATTATGTACCTATTTTTTATTCTTTATCCCATAGTTGAACTCTGTTCCGCTCTGTTAGGTAACATAAAAACATATTTATGATATTTTGCAAATCCGTGGAAAAAGTGATATCTGTGGAATACGGAAAATATTTCACAGATATCACCTTTTGGCAGGGATTTGAAAACTACCACCAATATGATGTGTTTTGTTACATAGTGATTTCATGACATCACGGGGATGAATGAATGGATGTTGTTTTGATATGCTTTGTTTAGTTTTAGAGGTGAAGTATGGGAAAAATAGAACATCCTATGCATTTTCGTGATATTGTGTTAATCCAACTCATTGATATCAATATCTGAGCTAATTCGCTATGCTAACTTGGCAATATATTGATATCAACTCGGAGATAAAGATAAAATCATTTAAAATCATATGATATCCTATACATATCCTTTACTGTGCCACAACTTTCTCATATGTTATATAATTGGCACAGGCCATCATTTATTTTCCTTGAATTCATGCTTTTGTTCTTCGTTTTAGAAATGAGAGGAAATCTTTGATTTTCCTTGTATTTAAGTTGCTTAAATATTGCCCTGTGATGTTGATAAAAGTCAATAGTAATCCATTACAGTCACAGTTGAAATGTACCCATTGCTAGCCCAGAACCTACCAAAATAGCATTTGCATTTTGTCAATATTGCCCTATGTGCTTTCCATGAAAATAATTTTAATTGTATCTTTTCTTCAGTATTTCATATATTACATTTTAATATATTTAAATTGGTTAATATTTACATACTATTGACTTAGACAACAATAAATAAAGAATTTTTTGTAAAAACACCAAAAATGGTATATGATCTTTAAATGACTGTTGTGTGAACATCAAAGGTCAAAATTCGCTGAAATTGTATTTTTATAAAGCTCAAATGATTTTTCTTCAATATGATATGCATTATTATCAGTTATCTTTGGGGGCTAAAAAGGGCTCTTAATGACACCCGTCCTTTTATATGGCCACTATGTACCAAAACATGTTTTGTTCGAGGGATTTGCTACTCCGTGGAGTTGCTGTTTTTCTAGTTTTCAACATTTTGTTAGTAATGAATGTTGGACTCCAGTTGTAAGAATGTCTTTATTTTACAAATGATTTTGTTGGAGAATGCTCTGGTAAAATACATCAATAAATAATCTTAATCTTAATCATTTGCACTTACCAGAAAATGTCCAAAATGTTTATCCATTGAATAACATAGACAGTCAGACCGAAAGTTAATAAATGTCAATATTTCAGTAAATCATGGTTTTTAAAATTATGTGAAATCAAAAAAAAATTGTGTTTTCTTCTTTTTGTGATTTTTTCTTTTTTAAATATGGCAGCCATCTTAAAATGTCTTCTTCAGCAAGGCTCCTTTGTACCCGCGCAACTGCATAAAAAATTTGAACCAAATCCATCCACTAGTATTTGAGAAATCAAAGATCATATTTTTCCGAAAAATGGCCGCCATTTTGAATTTAGAGGCCATATTGAAAATTCCTTCTCGAGCAGAGGTCCTACACCCATAAAGCATGAGCCCATAAAATTTGAATGAAATCCGTCAACCAGTATTTGAGTTATTGCCCGGACACACGAACTGACGGACGAACGGATGGATGGACGGACGAATGGACAGATGAACGGACAGCTTTTCTATATCCCCCTCGAACTCCGTTCGGTGGGATAATTAAATTTGAATCTGTTAGTCACAAACCAAACGCTATGTTTGAGTTTGTTATGCAACCAAATTACTCAGTATTCTTAGTATGATCATGCCAAGTTTTTGATTGGTTAATAGGGTTCAATGTAGAGATCAGGCGGGTGACGCTGGGTAAAGTCCTTTTTGCAGAAGTTTTCATTTTGTTCGTGAAATCTTTGTTTGTAAGTTGAACAGATCAAAATATCTACCAATTTCAAGGTAATTTTACTTCTTTTGTCTAGTGTAACGGATGGTCAAGAGTCATTGCTAAATATAAAATTAGTACCGTGGGTACTGGGCTCACATGGTGTTGCTCAAAAAACGGATATAATTTTTTGCCAATTATTTGTAACAAAACTAGAAAAACAGCAACTCCACGGAGTAGCAAATCCCACCGAACGGCAGTTGAGTTACCAAAGATTACGAAAATGAAAATGAAAAATGGCAGCCATTCTGAAGATCAGCCGCCATCTTAAAAAAATTTTCTCGAACAGAGCTACTGTGTTTCTAAGCATCAGCATATAAAATTTGAACCAAATCTGTTCACTGGTATTTGAGTTATCAAAGATTACATTTTTTAAGAAAAATGGCGTCCATTTTGAAATTCAGCCGCCATCTTGAAAATTCTTTCTCGAACAGATCTCCTTTGTCCCTAGGCATCATCATATAAAATTTGAGCCAAATCCGTTCACTGGTATTTGAGTTATCAAAGATTACCTTTTTTTACGAAAAATGGCCGCCATTTTGAATATCAAGCCGCCATCTTGAAAATTCTTTCTTGAACAGATCTATTGTGTCCCTAGGCATTATCATATAAAATTTGAGCCAAATCCGTTTACTGGTATTTGAGTTATCAAAGATTACGTTTTTTACAAAAAATGGCCGCCATTTTGACAATCAGTGGCCATCTTGAAAATCCCATCTTGAGCAAAGCTCCTTTGTCCCTAGGCATCATCATATAAAATTTGAACCAAATCCGTTCCCTGGTATTTGAGTTACCAGAGATTACGTTTTTTTACGTAAAATGGCCGCCATTTTGAAATTCAGCGGCCATCTTGAAAATTGTAACTCGAACAGATCTACTGTGTCCCTTGGCATCATCATATACAATTTGAACCAAATTCGTTCACTGGTATTTGAGTTTTCAAAGATTAAGTTTTTTCACGAAAAATGGCCGCCATTTTGAAATCTAGCCGCCATCTTGAAAATTTTTACTTGAACATATCAACTGTGTCCCTAGGCATCAGCATATAAAATTTGAACCAAATCCGCAAACTAGTATTTGAGTTATTAAAGATTACATTTTTTACGAAAAATGGCGGCCATTTTGAATTCAGTGGCCATATTGAAAATTCCTTCTCGAGCAGAGGTCCTACACCCATAAGGCATAAGCCTATAAAATTTGAATCAAATCCGTGAAACGGTATTTGAGTTATCGCCCGGACAAACAGACGGACGGACGGACAGACGGACGAACGGACGGACGGACGGCTTTCCTATATCCCTCTCGAACTTCGTTCGGTGGGATAATTATTTCATACAACTACTCTTTACAGTGACATTGCTTTTTACAATGCAGGACAGCTGAAATTATTTGTAAAGCTAGGAAATGGGCCAAAAGTGAATTTCGCGAGACAAGAATGGCGACCATTTTGAAAATAGGCGAGCTTTTGAACCAAGAGTCATAGGAGAGTTTATTGTATTGATGTTGAACAGAAGTAACTTAAAACGGAAATCCTATCGACAGAGGGTTTAAGGCAAATGGTCCAAAAGTGGATTTTGCGAGACAGATGGACAAATCAATGTTAACTAAAATGGCTGAAAAAAAAAAAAAAAAATGGATATAATTTTTTGCTGATTTTTCGTAACAAAATTATTTCATACATCTACTCTTTACATTGACATGGATTTTTACAATGTAGGACACCTGAATTTATTTGTAAAGCTAGGAAATGGGTCAAAAGTGAATTTTGCGAGACAAAAATGGCGGCCATTTTGAAAATAGGTGAGCTTTTGAACCAGGAGTCATAGTGGAGTTTTGTGTATTGATGTTGAACAGAAATAACTTAAAACAGGAATCCTATCAACAGAGGTTTTAAAACGTGCCACTGTTGTTGACGGAAAAGTGGATTTCAAGAGTCAGATGAACAAATCAATGTTAACTAAAATGGCTGAAAATAAAAAAATGGACATTATTTTTTGCTGATTTTTTGTAACAAATTTATTTAATATATCTACTCTTTACATTGACATGGATTTTTACAATGTAGGAAACCTGAAATTATTTGTAAAGCTAGGAAATGGGTCAAAAGTAAATTTCATGAGACAAAAATGGCGGCCATTTTGAAAATAGGCGAGCTTTTGAACCAGTAGGGGAGTTTTCTGTATTGATGTTGAACAGAAATAACTTAAAACAGGAATCCTATCGACAGAGGTTTTAAAACGTGCCACTTTTGTTGACGGACGGACAGACAGACGGACGGACAGACGGACAGACAGACAGACGGACAAGTGAGTGATTGCAAAAGCTCACCATGTGAGCTTATAAGGGCATTATCATGTGGGAGTCAAACAGACTCCCCTTTATGACAATATAGGGTTTCCGGAACGAAATCAGGGTGTCCCGGGCCTACGGACTCCCGCTTCTGCCGAAACCTGATAACGAGGCTTTTACACATAATCCAATGGGGGTGTTAGGTCTGCCAAACATTTGGAGGGAATGTAAATTGTATATATACAGTAAATACAAAAATGCATTTTTTTGTTGAACATAAAAACATATCAATTTTTTGTAAAATAAAGTTCAAATTCAAATTCAATTTCAAGGTAAAATATCCACTTCTATTTCATGCCCATTTATACTTATTTTCTTGGGTGGCTAAAAAGAGACCTTATTAAAGTCTATATAATAATAATTATTAATAACTAGCCTGTATAGCACGACCACTAGCAGAAATATATGCCTCCACAGTTGTTGTAAAATCTCCACCAGCAAACTTTTCTTTCTCAGTTTTCCTTCCCCTGATAACAGGTATAGCCATCAGCTCCTCATAAACCCTGGCATACAGCTCAAGAATGGCAAAAACCTGGAGATAGGCAGACAAAATTACTCAAAATACACAAAATTAGTATTACAACCGGTATTGATTGAAAAATGCTTAACGATTCATGTCATATCTGCATCTCTTATATTCAAGTCCCTCCACATCTAATACATAAGTCCCTCGAACACTTATACACTTTTGATGAGATGATGCCATACCTCCTCCTCAGCTTCAGGTTTGGTAGCAAATGCTGTGTGGCCCTCCTGCCATAGGAACTCTCTAGTCCTCAGGAATGGTTGTGGGTGTTTGAACTCCCACCTCTACAAAGAAACAACAATATATATTTGACCATGTCACAACTAGAAAAATAGCAACTCCACGGAGTAGCAAATCCCACTGAACAAATCATGTTTTGATAAAAATTTTGAGCCAAATTCGTCTACTGTTTTTGAATTATCAAAGATTATGTTTTTATGAAACATGATTGCCATATTGAAATTCAGCTGTCATCTTTGGATTTATCAATATATATAAAATATCAATTACTGAATTCCAATCAATTATACTCATTACTTTGATTAAAATTGAAGAAATTAGATTTTAGAATTGTGAATTCCTGCAAAGCAGCCATTTTGAATTTTCTGAGGTACAAATCTGAAAAATAATACCATAATTGTGATCTACTCAAAAAATCCTTCAATTTGAGTATAATATAGCCATACTTTGAAGGGATCGAAAAATTATTGCGAAATCGTACATTAGACGGCCATTTTGAATTTTACGAGGCTCGAATCAGAAAAAAGATACAATATTTGCAATCTACTCTTAATTGCCTTTCATTTGAGTATAATAAAGATACATTGTATACTTCAGAAAGATCTAAAAATTAGCGAAAATTTCTGTTTTCCTGACCCCCCATACACAGCCCCTGGGGGTCAGGATGAAAAACACGGAATATATGTGAAATAGATAAATGTTGTGAATATACTACCAAATTTCAAACAATAATATTAATTACTTTGGTTTAGAATGAAAAATTTATGATTTTTGCGAAAAAGTCCCGTCATTTTTAAAGCGGCGGCCATCTTGAAAAAAACGGACGGACAGACGGACGGACGGACGGACGGACTGACGGACTGACTGACGGACGGAGGGCTTCACTATATCCCTACCGAACTTCGTTCGTTGGGATAACTAAACATTACAAGGACACATTGGAAGAGTCAGAATGTGCACCACACTTTGAATGTAACCTTGTAATCTTGTCCTTTCATCATGATGTATACTACCTATTATTTTTGGTTTTTGTATATCTTGTATATATTTTTGTACTTTTGCTTTAGTTAGTATTTGTAGTGTAGATATTTAATTTTTCATAGTTATGACTAATGTAATCATGTTATGATACAAGATGTCAATAAAAGTTATTTATCCCATACTTGGACGTGTTACAGGTACATAAAGCCGGTTTGTAAAAACTTATATTTTCATCAGCGGGCAGATATAGCCATATGACCCGCTCCGAGCGGGCAGATATAGTATATCTGCCCGCTACGTCATAATCGCTGCTCGCATATTTGTTCATAATTTGTAATGTTCGCGTAATGACTGTAAACGACAATGGAGAAAACACAGACAATCGGGATCTGTTTGATGGTTTAAAAAGGGGAAGGAGCATCCACTTAATCAATCAAAAATTCGAGAAAATAAATGTGGGAATATTTGAGAGAACAGGAAAATCCACCCACGGCCAAGAAAACAAAACTGGACATGAATATTCTAAAATATTTCCACGATTGAACAATGTGAACCAGATCACCAAGATTGGTATGGGATAAACATATTTTCCTTTAGTCGGTTCAGGATATTGGGATTATCCCTTGGCCAATATAATATATTTTCCCTCGGGACTTGCGGCCCTCGGGCAAATATATTATATTTGCCTCGGGATAATCCCAATATCCTGAACCTCATATAGGATAATCTCTATATATACTACCAGAGAGATGAACATTCATAGAAGAAAAATATTGCCCAACACAACCAAAACACGAGTTACCATAGTAACCATAACTTTTGAACAATCAAATCAAAGTAAAATATCTTTTTCCTGCCAATGTGTAGATATTTTGTCTATTTCTTGTGAAAGCCCCCTTATAAAGTTTAAACCACTTTGGCTTATATTGTAGTTGTACCCAATGTTATCAAAGTGTCATATGTGAAACTTTTTATTTTAATTTTGAGGACTTTTTGTTCAAAAATAGTGAATTTCTTTAAAACTAACTTTAAGAGGTCACATATCTTTTAATAAGGGATAATTCATTCATCCTCACATGTTTTTGCCTAAAGAGAATCGGTTCATAAATAAGCAATTATTCTGAAGGACATGATCCGTAATGGCTGATTTATTCATCACCCCTCTCATATTTTCTTTTGCTTGGCGCGTGTAACGTGAATTGTCCCTCGAATCTGCGTTATGGACTGGAACAATACTATGGTTTTGGACAATGACAATAAGAGACTTGAAAGATGGATAAAAGAATCTATTTTTATAAAGAAAAACGATAATAATATGAACAGGGATCAAGGGAACTATAAATTGGCGGGAATTTGGAATGAATTTTTGGTGAATTAATATGACGTAATATTGTTTTTATTTAATTGTTTTGTAAGGCTTCAGTTCAGTTTTTATACAGTTGAAAAAGGATCCAGAAAGGATCCGAAACGTCCTGGTTATAGTAAAATAAAGGTTGTGGAAAGAAGAAAAAATATTTTGTGATTTGATTAGCCAACCTGAAGAACATGTTTAAGATTATTTTTGAAGTTTAGCATATTTAGAAAAGATTGACATAGAAAAAAAAAAAAAAAAATTTCATTTTGCCACCTGACTGAGTCATGGATGACATCACTTAGGTTGCAAAATAATTTTGATAAGCTTAAACATTGAAGTGGCACATTAGATATGGCATTTTATTATTGAAATAGTTTGTCTATGGTTCAATCTTTGCATAGGATTTAAAATAAAATCATCTTTTTTTTAAATGTATGGTGGAATATTTGATGATTAAAAAATTTCAACTTTTTAAAAAAAATGGCGGGAAAGAATGAATGGCTATTGACACCCCTGGGGTCACTAAACATTTTTTGAAAAATGCAATGTCGTTAATATCCTTGATATGTAGGACCAAATTGTAGGTAAATATGTATATTTTCAAGAAATAGCAATAAAAACATTCAAGATTACTGATATAAGTATATTTTGGTTGATTTGGGAGGTATGTATCACTTCCTGTGAAAATGTGATTTTTTATCAGTCTCAGAAAATGTCTCCAGAATATATAAACCCAACTTGGCAGATGTCCCATTGTTTGATTGTGTCACTCTATACACTCATTGGATTAATATTTTGTACACATAAATAGTCATTTTACAATATTCATTGAGGGGGGATTAGTTATGTTTGCAATTGTGTTGACCTACTTATTTTTAGAGAGAGGAAGGTCATGATAAACTCTTGCTTTGTTCATACAACGCCTGGTTTTTACCTAGAAAGTTATGTGCATTGAGGGATAAGTGTACTTCTAAGGTACTTCTTGAGGTATATAAAAATCTAGGTAAGGACCAGGCGTCATGCAAAAATGGAACTTTTATGCAATTTTCAGCATGAATAAAATGATGTTAGCCATTTTGAAAATCCTTAGAATGATTGTGACAATTGTGTTTTATATATTCAAGTATATTTTCTTATCTAATATTATCATTTCATGAACTAATATTTATGCTTGCACTGAAGCATGACCTCTAGAGAAGCATATATTTTACCATGGCTCTAAACAACATAATAACTTGTAATTCCTTTCTGTACATTCATATAAATGTACATGCAAAATTGAGATGATTGTTGTACAATCATTTAATCTTCATGTGACAGGCTTCATTTTTGTCAATGAATAATTTTTTTTATATTATCATAGTTCACTGGCTGATCAAACCAATGTTCATATTTAGAAATCCAGCTCAACTTTATTGTGCAGAAGAAATATACTGTAAGTCACAATCAGTAGGCAGGAAACAACCCAGATCCAGATGTATGTAATAGAATTGATGCAATCACTGGATGGTGTTGTTCATGCCCAGTTGGGAGTAGGGCTGTAGGCACAAGGGGTATAAAAGCAAAAAGAAATGAACAAAGTTTGACATTTAAAAATCAAAAGATATGTCTGAAATGTTGTCATCTGAAAAAGATGATGATAGCTCATAGAGTCTCTTATTATAATTAACAAACACATGAATGTGCTCATCTACAGAAGTACAACAGTTATGTTAAGTCCAGCGTAACCTTTTAGAAATTGCCATATTTTATGAGTTTTCAAATGTTGCCCTTTGTGCTTCCTCACTGTGATGCAAAATAATGTATTCAGTATTTTACTGCCACTTTAAAATAAGCTGTATATGAGCAATTGATCTCAAGCAGATCAATATTTGATTGATTGATATGCATTTTTGACTTGTTAATTGCTTCGTGTGTTTTTTAATGTTACCCCTTGTTCTTTCTCATTGTGATGTAAATTAATAATCTAAATATTCTTTCCTGACATTTTTTGCAGACAGTTGATTTCAATGAAGTATACAGAAGATACTATTCAATATTATTTAGCATTTTTGACTTGTTATATTTCATGTGTTTTCGAATGTTGCCCATTATGCTTTGTCACTATTATGTAAGATAGAGAGGATCAATTAAAAAGTTTTGAATGACTGCAAATAATGATTAATTGGATAATAAATAGAAACAGTGAGAATAATGATGTGAAAAGAGTGATTTTTTCCTTCAAAAGGTCATTTTATACATGTTAATAGAATGACCTAATTTTTGGATCTGGTTATCAAACAAAGTCCCTTCTTTGATATCCTGTACAATTTCTTCTAAATATCTTGGGGGCTAATATAGGGTCTAAAAGACACTCGTCCTTTGAATATTCGAGAAATGAAAAGCTGACAACTTTTTTTCCCCCCAATTTTTTTTCAAAATACCTTTAACTTTTAACAGTCATGGCAAATAGTAAATGAATGATAAGAGCATTTTTGCATGAATTTCATACCTGCCAACCTCTCAGAGAAAAAAAACAGGAGTATTTTTTTAAAAAAACAGGAGAATCCAGGAGATATTTTGCAAAAAACAGGAGAAAAACAGGAGACTTTTACTGAAAAAAACAGGAGAAAACAGGAGACTTCTTTTAAAAAACAGGAGAAAACAGGAGGTTTATTTTAGAAAACAAGTTACCATCTAAAAAACAGGAGAAAACAAGAGACTTTCAGTCTAAACAGGAGATTTTCTTTAAAAAAAAGGAGAAAACAGGAGACTTCTTTTAAAAACAGGAGAAAACAGGAGGTTTCTTTTAGAAAACAAGTTACCATCTAAAAAACAGGAGAAAACAAGAGACTTTCAGTCTAAACAGGAGATTTTCTTTAAAAAACAGGAGAAAACAGGAGACTTCTTTTAAAAAACAGGAGAAAACGGGAGTTTTTTTAGAAAACAAGTTACCATCTAAAAAACAGGAGAAAACGGGAGATTTTCAGTCTAAACAGGAGATTTTCTTTAAAAACAGGAGAAAACAATTTATTTTAAAAGCATGAGAAAACAGATTATCTTTAAAAACAGAAGAAAACAGGATATTTTCCTTAAAAACAAGAGAAAACAGGATATTTTCTTTAAAAACAGGAGAAAACAGGAGACTTCTTTATAAAACAGTTTAAAACATAGGGAGTATCGGTATCGATGTTGCATCCTGGGAGCCAATCCTCCTTGGTCCAGGATGGAAAAACCAAAAAGCTTACCGTAAATGTGACTGATAAATCTCAATCTTTGACAAACTTCAATGGTAAAACCATTCAAACTTATTCAACATGATTTCTCTTGTTGTTGATTGGACATTTATATTAGATTAACTTTGTTTTTCATGATTAGATGTCGCTGGAGTTAATTGACTTATATGTAAGATACTGGAGACGATCGATGAGTACTCGGATTTAAGTTCAAGTAGGAGGAAAAAAACGGGAGGACACAGACAAAATCGGGGGATTTATCTAAAACATGCGAAGTTTTTTGTAGAAATCGGGGGAAATCGGTAGAAAAAATCGGGAGATGATGAAAAATTACAAAATTAGAAAATCGGGAGATGGCAAAATTGCACAGGAGATGGGTTAAAAAAAACAGGAATCTCCCGATTTAAATCGGGAGTTGGCAACTGTGGAATTTATTGAGTGACCTCATTTTTGTACCTCTGAGAGCAATAGCTGAGGAATCCACTTACTACAATATTGTTCCACTGGTTTAATTTGATAGGCAAATCTCTGTACGACTGTATCCACTTTGCGTAGGAAGGGTACATGACAGTCTCACTGGTGGGACGTATGGCAATAGGCTCAGCTAGTTCAGACTGTCCTGACTTAGTCACCCAGGCAACCTATTATAGACAAACAGATTCTTAATATTTTGCTTTCATAATATGCTGCATTAGAAATACTGACATGAACCCTAGGCCTTTTGAAAAATGAATACATAAACATTACATTCAGGCGATGTACAAGTATTTTGCCATTTCTCCCAACAGCCAAAGGACTAGGTAGAAGATGCATGTGTTTTAAGAATTACCTCAGGGGCAAAATCAGCTATGTGGTCCTTCTCTCTCTCCAGGGCAGCATGGGACACAAACATAGGGAAATAACAGTTCTCTACACCTAGTTTCTTAATTTCTGCATCAAAGAAATCTTTGATTTTTTCCCATATGGAGTATGACCAAGGTCTGAGAATGTAGCAGCCTGAGACATCATAGTACTCTATCATCTCAGACTTTGTGATAACCTGAGAATACCAGTCAGAGAGATTCTCTTCTTTCTTGGCCTCTAGCCCTAGTCTGAAACATAATACTAATGATGAAGACATACTGAGTGGTGCATTTTAGGAAAACACAGTTTGTGATTTAATTTGATGACCTTGACCTTTGATCTTGCAAATTTTACTTTATTTGACCTCAGTAGGTCTTTTGTGATCAAATATACCTAAATTTGAATCCAGAATCCAGAAAATTGATTTGAAAAAGGTCATTGAAGGTCAACCAAAGATCAAAACTAAGGTCAGATTTCAACTCATAAGAACTTGTAGATGATTTTAAAAAAAAGTTTGGTCAATTTGAAGCAAGTTGAAATTTTGTCTTGAAAAATTTGTGGTGGGGACATAAAAAGTGACAAAGTACTGGATTTGACCTAGTTCTTGACCTTTGACCAAGATAAAGATTTGACCCAATTTCCGAGGATCCAGGAACAGTTCCTTAATGGACCATATGACTGTCTTGACTGAAGACCTTATGGTTGTTGAGAAAAGGAGCTTGGTATAATAATAATAAGAATAAGAAGAGTAAAAATAATGGCAAAAACAATAGACTCTTAGATTTCATCTGGAGTCTAATAATAATGGAAATAAGCCACACGGTGAACAGAATCACACCCTTGAACATAATACACTTTTAGGGATGGAAAATCCAAAATGGCCACCTTAACATTTACCCAGAATGCCGAAAAACTAATGAGTTATAAACTTTCATAAGTAGAAACATCCCTGAAAATTTCAAATGAATCCCTCAAACGGTTTGGCTGGAAACCTGTAGACAAGCCTTCACAGACACGATTTTAGGACGAAAAATCCAAAATAACCGCCTTAACATTTACGAAGAATGCCGAAAAACTAATCAGTTCTAAACTTTTATAGGTAGAAACATCCCTGAGAATTTCAAATGAATCCCTCAAACGGTTTGGCTGGAAACCTATAGAAAAGCCTTGACAGACAAGATTTTAGGACGGAAAATCCAAAATGGTCGTCTTAACATTTATCCAGAATGCCGAAAAACTAATCATTTCTGAACTTTCATAGGTAGAAACATCCCTGAGAATTTCAAATGAATCCCTCAAACGGTTTGGCTGGAAACCTATAGACAAGCCTTGACAGACAAGATTTTAGGACGGAAAAACCAAAATGGCCACCTTAACATTTACCCAGAATGCCAAAAAACTAATCAATTCTAAACTTTCATAGGTAGAAACATCCCTGAGAATTTCAAATGAATCCCTCAAATGGTTTGGCTGGAAACCTGTAAACAAGCCTTGACAGACAAGATTTTAGGACGGAAAATCCAAAATGGCCGCCTTAACATTTACCCAGAATGCCGAAAAACTAATCACTTCTAAACTTTCATAGGTAGAAACATCGCTGAGAATTTCAAATGAATCCCTCGAACGGTTTGGCTGGAAACCTGTAGACAAGCCTTGACAGACAAGATTTAAGGACGGAAAATCCAAAATGGCCGCCTTAACATTAACCCAGAATGCTGAAAAACGAATAATTTCTGAACTTTCATAGGTAGAAACATCCCTGAGAATTTCCCTCAAACGGTTTGGCTGGAAACCTGTAGACAAGCCTTGACAGACAAGATTTAAGGACGGAAAATCCAAAATGGCCGCCTTAACATTTACCCAGAATGCTGAAAACTAATCAGTTCTAAACTTTCATAGGTAGAAACATCCCTGAGAATTTCATATGAATCCCTCAAACGGTTTGGCTGGAAACCTGTAGACAAGCCTTGACAGACAAGATTTTAGGACGGAAAATCCAAAATGGCCACCTTAACATTTACCCAGAATGCCGAAAATCTAATCAGTTTTAAACTTTCATAGGAAGAAACATTCCTGAGAATTTCAAATGAATCCCTCAAACAGTTTGGCTGGAAACCTGTAGACAAGATTATTCGGGACGCCCGCCCACCCACCCGGCAAACTGATTACAATATAGCACCTAAGGGTGCGATAAAAACAATAGACTTTAGATTTTATCTGGAGCCTATTAATAATGAATTATTATTATATTATACTAAATTACAATGCATAAAAATAGATAAATTACATGACAACAAACCTTGTTTGCTTTTTCACCTCACGATCACCCTTAGCATCAGTCTGTATTTGCTTAGCCTCCTGTTTCTTATCCTCTTGTTTGGGCTTTTCCTTCTTCTCCTTTTTGCCCTTCCTTGCTGCACCTGTTAGCTCCTCTCCTGTCAAATCCTTATACTGACCCTTCAATGCTAACAGTGTTTTAACTTCAGCATCAACCTCAATCTAAAAGTCATTTACATTTAGCTTTTTAATTCTTTCATACAACAATGTTACAACATACGAGGTAAATTACCACAACATTGTCAACATTGATAAAACAATTACAATTTTCATTCCACACTCATACAGGGTGAGCCAAAAAAGGTAACCAAATTATATGTTAATAACTGTCATCTAACGAGGATTCAAATCATATTTGGCACAAGTGAACCTTCGCCCTTTCTGAACAATCAAAAAGACACCAGACTGGGAACAATTCGAACTCCTAGAAATATGATTATTTTTAGCGAACAACTTGAAAACGGCAACTCCGAAGAATAGCATATCCCAACTAACACTATAATATATACACAGGCTGGTATCGAAAAAATTGTCCGCTGTGTAGTAGGTGGGTTTACTACATTTGGACTTCATTTTATGATGCAAATGTCCCCTTCGGCATGAGTACCTTAGGGCAGTAAAAACAATTCCATCAAAAGACACAAGCTAGATCATGCTTTATATTGGAAATATATGCATTTTTTCAAAATGGCCGCCAAAAATACATCAAAGACAATATCTTTGCCTCTATGCATGTTACAATTATAAGATTGGTGTCAAAAATACATTGATGGGGTTTTAGAATCCATTTAATAAGGTTTCGAGTCTTGAAAATTAAGAACTTACACTTTATATTCAAAATATACGCAATTTTTAAAATAACTGCCACAAATATAACAAACAAAAAAGAAGAAATTTTCGCTTCTATGCATACTACAATGATTAGACTGGTGTCAAAGTATACATTAATTAGGTTTTAGAATCCATTAAATTAGGTTTTGAGTCTTTAATTACATGTTTTTTCACCTTATACAGTGCGTATAAAAAAACGCAACAGATTGTTATCTCGGAAAAGCAAAAAACCAGTGATAACAGCATTGCTTCCACAGGGTTCGTACACCTTTTTCAAAATGAAATTCCCTGACATTTCCAGGCAAAAAAAGATATTTCCAGATCTAGTTTTGCTAACACGGCCTCCCTAAAAAGTCTCAAACAAATGTATCATTTAAAAGACGAGACTTATTATGAAAGATTTTGGGTGTCTCCTTTAGTACCATTTCCTTAACTTTGACTTAACTTTACTTCTACGGGCCGTCTTATTCACAACTTTATTCCTGATACATTATGTTTTTCATTTTACATTTTAAGGCCAAGGGTAAACATACATGTACAGGGGCGTAGCAAGCAAACGTGAAAGGGATGCAATTTTTGGGGTTTGCATCACTGCAAGCGAAGGAAACCCAAGGGTGGGGGAGTAGATGAGCCCCCAGAAATTCACATTGTATATTGTGCATTCTATCCATTTCAAACTATAAATTGTTAATGTTTTGTAATAAATCCAAATGACAACTGAAACTTCAAAATTTGATCTAAATCATACTAGAAAAATAGCAACTCCGTGGGGGGACAATTCCCACCTAATGAAACATATTTTATTGAATATTGATCATTGTGAACATTATTTGATAGCAGTAACCTGGCATTACTATTGTCTAAACCCAAGCGTCACAATAAGGCACAGGCCTACCAAATCAAATAATCGGTATTTGTGTTATCAGGAATCATATTTCTTTGAATTAAATAAAAAAGGATAGGTATGGATATGGTGAACTGAATTCAACAATGGTTTTCTCTTGAACCAATTATTGAAAACATTCTGTAAAAAAACAAGGTCCTTTATGTAATGTTGACTGATTGGCAATAATTTAATGCAAAAATGATTTATATATATTTTATATGTGTATAACTGTTTTTGTTATAGTGCAATTGTTTTTTGTTCCTTTCTACCAATTCTTGAGAATTAAATAAAATATCTTTCTGAACCTTGTTGGAACAAAATAGCATTTACAACATTTTCTTAGACCTCTCAATATTATAGTAATACAAAGGAAATTTTGGTTGATTTAACAAAAAGTATGCAAAAACTTCAAACAAAATGCCTCAAAATAGATAAAAATTAAGATAAACCTTTTTATTTCATTAACAAGATACTTTTTTAAAATCAACCAAATTTTCCTTTGTACGATGTAGGGATGCGTAGGATGCAAATAGATTTTGATAAGCATAAAAATTCAATTGAATTTTGACCCTAATAAGTGGCCTAAACATAAAATAAAGTTCTTGCAAAAATTCATACATTTGACTCTTGAACAATAAAAAGTGATGATTGCTAGAGTAACACGACTCGGGGGTAGCAAAATTAGCAAAATAAATCATTAATTAATCGGCAATTACAAATAATCAGTAGCATTGGGACGTATGTTTCACTGGGAAATTCAAGAAAACAAACACTTGATCATATTCATAAGGTGTTTTCGAAGTAGGCTATGGCCAAAAGAACCATTTACAAAACTGACATTTATACTGATGGTAGAACAAATGCTAAGGACAACGCTAGATCAGCCGTCCAAGAACGAAATCCAATGAAGATCATATGACGTTGATCAAAGCCATCCATACAAAGATCAATGGCAATAGATCTTCCAAAAGGGTTCCCCCATATATTTGAGGAATGGTAAGTAAGACAGCAAGACAAAGTAAATAGGACAGTAAAAAGATTTTGAACATCCAAACAAAACAGATTCTTTTTTGCCTGCTCCGTCTATCCCTGACTCATGTGATTATAACAACCTTAACTTATTAATTATAACTTAGGATCTCACTGTATGAATAGTGTAGGTATACTACTTGAACATTTTAGCCAGATTGACTGAGATACAACCAGAACAACGGCAACGCCAAAGCGTAGCGAATCCCATCGAACAGCCATGGATGGCATTTTTACAAACAAAGTATATAGCAAAAATGGCAGGCATTTTCAAAATGGCCGCCTTCTACCAAAAGTGTCTTTAGACCATTTGCCATACTTATAGTATTCACATACCAAATATGAACAAAATCGCTCCACTACTTTTCGAGTTATAGTAAAATACGTTAAAATGGCGGCCATTTTGAAAAATGGCCGCCTTCTACTAAAAGTGTCATACGATAGTGTGTCATGCTTTTAGTATTCACATACCAAATATGACAAAATCACTCCACTACTTTTCGAGTTATAGTAAAATACGTTAAAATGGTGGCCATTTTGAAAAATGGCTGCCTTCTACCAAAAGTGTCATTAGACAGTGTGCCATCCTTATAGTATTCACATACCAAATATGAACAAAATCGCTTCACTACTTTTCGAGTTATAGTAAAATAGGTAAAAATGGCGGCAATTTTTCAAAATGGCGGCCATTTTTTAAAATGGCCACCTTCTTCCAAAAGTGTCTTTAGACAGTGTGCAATGTTTATAGTATTCACATACCAAATATGAACAAAATCTCTCCACTACTTTTCGAATTACAGCAAAAATCGTAAAATAACGAGTAAAGGCCGCCATTTTTCAAGATGGCTGCCATATGCTTCTTTAATATCTACATTTCTAGCTTTATTAATGTCTTTTATAATTTTTTTTACATCTAAATCATATTGCTATTACAGTTTTACATATTGCACCTTAATAACTGTAAAATCAGCACTAAAATGGCCGCCATTTTGAAATGAGTGGCCATTTTGAAAATCGGCTTTCGAGCAGAACTTCTATCCCCATAGGGTATATGTGTACAAAATATGAACAAAATCGGGCCAACAGTATTTGAGTTATTGCCCGGACGGACGAACATACGGACGGACGGACGGACGGAGGCGTTCCCTATATCCCTCCGAACTTCGTTCGATGGGATAAAAATTCTACAGTACTTTTGAAAGAACTTTATGTAATAATAAAGGCAGTATACTCATTTTTGCAAAAAATTCCTGCACTTTTAAAAAATGGTGGCCATCTTGAAAATTTTATTTTGTATAAAACTATAATTACCAATATCCATCTTTCCAACAAATATGAAGGAAATACGTCTACTATAGTATTCGAGTTATCTTCTGGACAGACAGACTGACTGACTGACTGACTGACGGACAGACGTACAGACAGACGGATGGAGGGCTTCACTATATCCTTACTGAACTTCATTCGTTGGGATAATAAGAGCACTGTGTAGTGAAAAAGCCACAAAATTAATGAAGGTGTTAGAAACATGTTTAAGATTATAGATTCTTGCATCATGGCATTCAAAACCAACCAATCAGGTATAAATTCACCTTGGCACCTCCTCCACTTTTCAGTACGCGAACTTTCTCCCCCTGTGCTTCTATCTTTGCCTTAAGATCGGTGGCCTCCTTGCTTTCTATTGCCACAGGCATGTTGGAAGTAGCTAGTTCAGTAGCAGCTGGGGGTATAACCTGGCCTGGCTTCCAGTCTTTACCTGTATTAGTCTTGAACTCCGCCTTCAATGCAAGGAGACCCTTCACTGCTGCATCAATTTGATCCTAGAACCAGAGGGATTAATTTAATTTAATTTTTTTTGTTAAAAACTCTATTTTATATAATCATACTTCTGTTAACGAGGCGTATAGCCTTTTTATTTTTTCGTGAAGCCACTCAGTAAAATTACGATTTCTCTGCAACCTGATATCCAATTAACATCATTCAAGTATTTAAAGTGTTCCTGACACATTTGGGCATCTGGGAATAACAACTTCTACCCAAAGTTTGCATGCGAAATTGACGTAATTCATGACTGAAATCGGGAAGACAAAATTTGAGATTCACAAACAAAAATGCTTGTGAAAACTATTTACAAAAGTGTTTCAGAGACTCTTATCTACTTGGCTATGGTTTTATTAGAAGATACATTGCCTTATTAAGCAGGTAGAGGGGCATACAGAACACAGAAGCAAATTCTATGTTGAAAGTTTTCTATATTTCAGTTTGAACATGTTATTACATGTCACGTAGGCTAGTGTTTTATATGGGGATTATATGTACTTTACTTGTTTACATGAACATAAATCATTCCATGAAATCTGCAGTCTTCCAGGTTTTATCTGGGTTTGTATTGTCTTATTGGGGCTTTTCAACTTTAAAACAAACCTTACCTATATGGATTTGTGTCTCAGAACATTTTTGTAAATAGTTATTATAAACAATTCTGAAAGAATATCACATATTTTTGTCTTCCCGATTTCTGTCATGAATTACGTCAATTTCGCTTGCAAACATTAGGTGGACGTTGTCATTACCGGATGCCAAAACGTGTCAGGAACACATAGATACTCAAATGATGTTTATTGGACATCAGGGTGCAGAGAAATCGTAATTTTACTGAGTGGCTTCACGAAAAAATAAGCAGCACTTTAGGCCACCTTAAGTCATACAATTTTCTCATAAGGCAACTAGATAACGGCAACTCCGCGGAGTAGCAAATCCCAACGAACAAAATATAAATTACCGAATTCCAATCAATTATACTCATTACTTTGGTTAAAATTGAAAAATTTAGATTTTAGAATTGCAACTTGAAGTTCTTGCAAAGCAGCCATTTTGAATTTTCTGAGGTACAAATCTGAAAAATAATACCATAATTGTGATCTACTCCAAAATTCCTTCAATTTGAGTATAATATAGCCATACTTTGAAGGGATCGAAAAATTATTGCGAAATCGTACATTAGACGGCCATTTTGAATTTTACGAGGCTCGAATCAGAAAAAAGATACAATATTTGCAATCTACTCTTAATTGCCTTTCATTTGAGTATAATAAAGCTATACTTCAGAAAATTTCTGTTTTCCATACACGGCCCCTGGGGGTCAGGATGAAAAACACGGAATATATGTGAAATAGATAGATGTTGCGAATATACTACCAAAATTTCAAACAATAATATTAATAATTACTTTGGTTTAGAATTTTTTCTTGCGTAAAACTATTCATCAATATACATCTTTCCACCAAATATGAAGAAAATCCGTCAACTAATATTTGAGTTATCTTCCGGACGGACGGACGGACGGACTGACTGACTGACAGACTGACGGACGGACGGACAGACGGACGGACGGACGGACTGACTGACGGACGGACGGACGGAGGGCTTCACTATATCCCTACCGAACTTCATTCATTGGGGATAATAAAAGCATCCTGTATTGACAAACTGAACATATAAACAATGTTTAAAACCCAAAATAATAGACATAACTATAACATCTCAAACAAAATCATCATGGATAATAATATTGTTGAGCAAACTGAAAAAATCAATTTCCTTGGTGCAACTATTGATGACAGACTGAATTGGAAGCATCATATTCATATGCTTGAAAATAAATTATCTAAAACTATTGGAACGTTACATAAAGTCAAACATCTACTGGATATTGCAAGTCTTAAAAGTCTTTATTACTCTCTTATTTATTCCAATTTTAATTCTGACATAATAATGTGGGGATGTGTGCCTGAAACTCTATTAAATAAGCTTCATTCAATTCAAAAACAATTTATACGTATGCTAGACAAGACTAATCATTATAGAGATCCAACTAAACCTCTCTTTATTGAACATAAATTGCTAAATATTCATCAAATTGTAAACTTGAGAATTGCTTTATTTGTTTTCAAATGTGTAAAGGGTAATAATGATTTGATGGATGATCTTTATTCTTCTTACTTCACAACCAATTATAGCTTCCATGACCGCAACACAAGAAACAAATTTGACCTGAGAGGCCCCAAAGGACGGGTGTCAATAAGGGCCCTTTTTAGCCCCCAAAGATATCTGATAATAATGCATATCATATTGAAGAAAAATCATTTGTGCTTTATAAAATTACAATTTCAGCGAATTTTGAGCTTTGATGTTCACACAACAGTCATTTAAGATCATATACCATTTTGGTGTTTTTACAAAAAATTCTTTATTTATCGCTGTCTTAGTAAATAATATATAAATATAAACCAATTTAACCTTTAGCATGCTACCGGCGAGCGTAGTCGCCCGTGCTTAACAATCCCCGGCAACTGCCGGCGACTCCAGTCGAATTTAAACTTTCAAAAACTGAACTTTTTCCCGCCGGTCTTATGATCCAATCAGATTGCCCGATTTATTTAGTCCTTACGTGGGGACTTCCTGTTGACCTAGAAATGGCGATGTTTCGAAAAATATTTCTCAATTCAACAATTTAAACAGTGTTTAAGTCGTTTTTAGTGAACAAATCGTACAAAATGGCGGCCAAATACGATCACAACGAACATGTGGAGGAAATGGATCGCGATTTCGAGCTCTTTAGGCTCTTGGAAGCCGATAATGGTCATCGAAAATAGAAACTAGAATATTTTCTGAACTGAAAAATGAACATTCGATTGCTGCAAATTCAGTTTTGGATTCTGACCAGACGTTGAATCTCCACAGGGGCGAAGCGGCGGATTCCGGAGGAGTATTCATGGTATATTTATGCCCAGTCCTGTTTATTTATGTAAAAAATTCATGAGAACATTTTTTTCATGAGCCAGGCCAATGTATCTTCTCTTTGTGAAAATTTTATCGAGATTCATTAAGTAGTTATTGAGATATTAATTATTTAGTCCAGGCATATCATTTTTTGCACTCTTTGAAAAATAAGTCAGTCGCGTGGGATATATTTGCTGAATTAAGTTAGCATGCAGAAGGTTAAATATATTAAATGTAATATATGAAATACTGAAGAAAAGATACGATTAAAACTATTTTCATGGAAAAGCACATAGGGCAATATTGGCAAAATGCAAATGCTATTTTGGTAGGATCTGGGCTAGCAATGGGTACATTTCAACTGTGACTGTAGTGGATACTATTGACTTTCATCACATAACAGGGCAACATTTAAGCAATTCAAATACAAGGAAAATCAAAGATTTCCTCTCATTTCTAAAACGAGGAACAAAAGCATGAATTCAAAGAAAATTAATGATGGCCTGTGCCAAAATATAACATGTGAGAAAGTTGTGGCACAGTAAAGGATATGTATAGGATATCATATGATTTTAAATGATTTTATCTTTATCTCTGAGTTGATATCAATATCTTGCCAAGTTAGTATAGCCAATTAGCCCAGCTATTGATATCAATGAGTGGATTAACACGATATAACGAACATTCATAGGATGCTCTATTTATCCCATAGTTCACCTATAAAACTAAACAAAAAATATCAAAACAACATCCATTTATTCATTCATCCCCGTGATGTCATGAACTCACTATGTAACAAAACACATCATATTGATGGTAGTTTTCAAATCCCTGGCAAAAGTTGATATCTGTCACTGGGGATGAACTGGAAACGAGGGAGGTTTTGCCTCGTATCAAAATGGCGGCGCGTGAAAAAATTTCATTCGGTAAGATTTTTGTTTTTTACAATTTTCGTGCTTTTATCCTTCAAATTAAAACTTAATATTTGGCAAGTAAATAGTTCATAAGTTCCGGTTTTATAATATGATTGCAAATTAGAAATCAATACAGACATTGCTGAGATATTTACATTTCAATTCTCTCACTTAGGAAACGAAACACCTGTCTACATTTTGTAACAATGAAACGAGGCAATGTTTGACTTGCAACGAGGCAACTATTCTTTCTGTGATAGTGTCTACATTTAATGATCTTATTTCCACCGTTCTGGTCACATACGACCGATTACGTTTTACACGATATACTTAGGTGGTTCAAAAAGTTTTGCATTTGATGTCATAACTTCAAGGAAAATAGTATTATTGCAATGAAACTTAGTACACATATGTGTTATATATACAAGAAATGTTATTTTGAAACAAATTCAGCACAACCAAAACCGTGTCCACATATATGACAAATCCAAGATGGCTGCCACAATTTTAGATCTATGCACATGTGAAGAAGTTAGAAATACACATGAATCACAAGTACCATCCCCAATAAAATGGGAAGTTTAAGGTTCTCACACATATCAACTCTATTCCTATATACTTTACATTTGTGGTAAGGCTTGTGATCTAGGTAAACTTAGCATGTTCATGTACTTCCTATCCTCTGAAGCTAAAAACAGAAATAGTGACTTCAATTGAGAAAAATGTATCTTATGGGCTCCATATACATTTTGAGTGGCTGTCCGGCTTAAGTTAGATACTACTGATAATCTGTGATTGAGTATTATGTCAAGTTTAGTCCTCAGCCTCTCATAACTGATAACTTTGAGGTAATTGTGTTGTTACTGCAAAAACTTCTATTTCTTCATCACAAATCTACCATTTTTTGCATCTGTCAAAACCCCTCATTTCATGTTAATTTTCAGACTTTTGCTTGTGCAATCATTAAATATATATATTCAACTTGTTATTCAGAATATTTTAAGAACTTTTCATGAGGTTTTTTATTTTCACACTTTTGAAACAATGACAAAGTCTGAGAATGGCCTTTTAATGGCATGTCCCCTTTAAGACAAACATAGGCAAATTTTCGATCAGCGTACAAG